AGCATTCTTGGGGCAATATTACATATTTATTTGAACCTTGGACTAGGTTCATATCAATTTGGTATCAGAGCCTGGTTTATCTCATTATCATTAGAAATTTGGTTTCTTTGGTTCCCTAGGTTTATCTCGTTATTATCTTACATACTACTTTTTTCGTGTCTTATTCATTAAAAAACCCCAAAAAATTTTTCTTAAGTTTTTCTTTACACTTGTGTAAGAAACCTTATGGCTAATTGTGGACTCAATTAGTGGCTAGTCGTGGACTCGACTAGCAAATTGATTCATGGACTCGAATCAATCTTCCTTTCTTCAACCTTAGATTTAGGTTCGTGGACTTGTTCTTGAATCGAAGGATACTAGATCCGACTCTAGTTGATTGAAGATTGCATCACCGAGGTACTTGAAGCTACAATGGGATTCTTCCAAGTCTTTGAGGATTCAAGACAAAGGGTTTCTCGTGAGGTTTAAGGTATTTCGATCCATCACTATCTTTACATTGAGAGCAATCTTGGGCAATACTCCATCTTATTTGAATCTTGGACTAGATTCATATCAATTCCAAATTTCTAATGATAATGAGATAAACCTAGGCTCTGAATACCAAATTGATATGAATCTAGTCCAAGATTCAATTAAGATAGAATATTGTCCCAAGAATGCTCTCAAATGTAAAGATAGAGATGGATCAAAATACCTTAAACCTCACGAGAAACCCTTTGTCTCGAATCCTCAAAGACTTGGAAGAATCCCATTGTAGCTTCAAGTACCTCGATGTTGCAATCTTCAATCAACTAGAGTCGGATCTAGTTTCCTCCGAGTCAAGAACGAGTCCACGAACCTAAATCTAAGGTTGAAGAAAGTAAGATTGCTTCGAGTCCACGAATCAATTTGGTAGTCGAGTCCACGACTAGCCACTAATTGAGTCCACAATTAGCCATAAGGTTTCTTACACAAGTGTGAAGAAAAACTTAAGAATTTTATTGAATTAAAGCCTCCCGATTCAATAAAATTCTTAAGTTTTTCTTTACACTTGTGTAAGAAACCTTATGGCTAATTGTGGACTCAATTAGTGGCTAGTCGTGGACTCGACTAGCAAATTGATTCGTGGACTCGAATCAATCTTATTTTCTTCAACCTTAGATTTAGGTGGACTTCACAAGCCTTTGAGAGTAAGGGTGTGTAGTACACCCCCAAAAGCCATATAATCCACCTCTTACTTGCGAGCTGAGAATAGTGAGGGAGCGAGCCAACTTTTTGGTTTCACTAACGTGACTACTCACACATCTTCTTGTTTTTAGATATTTTTTTCTCATTTACAGATGGCTCAACAAGTTCCAAACTTGCCGCAGAAATTAGAACAAAAAAATAGACGGGTTACTCAAACGAATGAATAATTTGGAGCAACGCTCACAGCAAGTGCAAACACCACACAATGATGAGCGATACCTGCCACCAGTAGGAAGAGTGGATCCTAGATGTCAAAGAATCCAACAGCGTAATACGGAGTTAGGAAACATTAAACATGAAATTCCTAACTTCACCGGTGAGAAAGGACCTACCGAATACATAGAATGGGAGAATGCTATTGAAACTCTTTTTTATTTAAAGCACTATTCTGATCTTACAAAAATTAGGCTAGTTGCTACATCTTTTAAGGGGTATGATATGAACCTAATCCAAGATTCAAATAAAATGGAGTATTGTCCCAAGATTACTCTCAATGCAAAGATAGAGATGGATCAAAATACCTTAAACCTCACGAGAAACCCTTTGTCTCGAATCCTCAAAGACTTGGAAGAATCCCATGTAGCTTCAAGTACCTCGATGTTGCAATCTTCAATCAACTAGAGTCGGATCTAGTTTCCTTCGATTCAAGAACGAGTCCACGAACCTAAATCTAAGGTTGAAGAAAGTAAGATTGATTCGAGTCCACGAATCAATTTGCTAGTCGAGTCCACGACTAGCCACTAATTGAGTCCACAATTAGCCATAAGGTTTCTTACACAAGTGTAAAGAAAAACTTAAGAATTTTATTGAATTAAAGCCTCCTCAAAACTGATATGGATGTGCCCTATTTATAGGTATAGGGCAGCATTGTAATCTAAATACAATGGGAAAAAGAGTCCTAAACCTAATCTAGAAAACAAGTAAATAGAGTTTTATTTAGAAAAGGATTTAAGGAATCCTTTCTAAATACAACTATTGTTTTCTCTTTAATTCTAAACAATTTAAAATAAATGATGACCACAATTAATAAAGCTGATTTGGGCCTCGGATCTTGTGATTGGCCCAATTTGTAATCTTAATGGATCTTCATTATGTTGGGCCGCATCATCCTCCCCTTCTTGAAAAATGATTCGACCTCGAATCTTATAAACATTGTCTTCGATCCGTGACATCACTTGAAACGGGCCACTATAATACTTTCCTCTATCGAATGAAATTATTATTGGAATTCCTTGATTTTTCCACCAATGATGCTTTAAGGATGTACTTTTTGGCCTTGTGATGAGCCCAAAGAAGAAGAAGAAGAATAAGGTTGGGGAAAGAATAAGGTTGGTAGGAGAATCTTGGTGGGAAAAGGAAGGGGAAAAGTATAAGGTTGGAAGGAGTTCTTGATAGATTCCTAATTGGCTGTGGTACACGTGAACCCCTTTTATATTCTATTTGTCTCTATCTTTTGATATTGGTCTTGCATATCTTTCTGCCATACTTCCTTCTTTGGTTTCCTTTTTCTTTCAAATCTTATTTAGTTTCTTTGCTCGTATTGTCCTTTTTCTTTGCTTCTTGCTCTCAATTTTATTACCGATCTCGCGATACACCCTTACCCTCAAAGGCTTGTGAAGTCTTCCAAGGTACGTTTTCTTGAACTTTGAGGTTGAATCCATATCAACTTGAGTACCGGACTAGAATTTTCCTTTTTGGAAAAAGGCTGGTGAGAATATCTGCCACCTTGAGCGATACACGAGTGGAGTGTGTGTTTGTAAGAGTGTGTAGTGCACCCCCAGAGCTATATAATCCACCTCTTACCTGCGAGCTGAGAATAAGTGAGGGAGCGAGCCAACTTTTTGGTTTCACTAACGTGTCTACTCACACATCTTTTTGTTTAGAATTTTTTTTTCCTCTACAGATGGATGAACAAGTTCCAAACCCACCCCAGACATTGGAAGAAAAAATAGATACTCTCACCTTCGCCATGGACGGGTTACTCACACGAATGACTAATCTGGAGCAACGCTCACAGCAAGTGCAACCACCACACAATGATGAGCGACAACTGCCACCAGCAGGGAGAGTGGATCCTAGATGTCAAAGGATCCAACAGCCTAATGAGGAGTTAGGAAACATTAAACTTGAAATTCCTAACTTCTCTGGTGAGAAGGGACCAACAGAGTATATAGAATGGGAGAATGCTGTTGAAACACTTTTTGATTTAAAGCACTATTCTGATGTTACAAAAATTAGGCTAGTTGCTACATCTTTTAAGGGGTATGCAGTATCTTGGTGGAGAAAAAGAAATCGGGAGAGAGTTGCTGATTTTATTCCCTATGAATCTTGGGTTCAAGTAAGGGAAGATATGCGCCTAACCTTTCGCCCTAAATCTTTTTTCTATGATCTTGAAAGAAAATTGCAGGGAACTGTTCAGGGATCAATGTCGGTTGATGACTATCACCGAACAATCAATATTTTGCTTGAGCAAGGGGACATACATGAAGAAGAGGCAAGAACTATTGCTCGTTGCTTACATGGATTGAACAAAGAAATCCGGTGGGGAATGAGTACACAAAGATATGACACCCTTGATGATGCCTTGTATGCTGCACGCGAATATAAAGTAAAAATCAAAGAGATGAAGATGTACAGGCCCAACAATGGTGCATCAAGATGGAACAACACTCGTTCTACCCCTCAAAGGCGTGATGAACGCCCTCTTCCAAGAGATGATTCACGAGACAAAGGTAAGGAAAAGGTAAGTGAGGCAGTGAGGCCTCAACGTGATAGAGAATTGATTTGTTATAGATGTAATGGAAGAGGTCATATGGCTCGTGATTGTCCTAACAAGAGGGTAGTTAAGATAACAAAACAATGTGAAAATTTTGCCTCTTGTCTTGAATATGAGTCTGAGGATGAGGTTAGTGACCATTTGGAAACCCCCAATGAGCATGTTGAGGAAGAACCACCTTTACCTTTAGATTTTGATTATGAATATGCTGATAGTGAGTCTGTTCATACTCTTGTTGTTAAGAAGGTTTTGAATGTTCATCCTTTAAAAGAAGATGAGTCTCAAAGAGAAAATATATTTTATGCTAAAGGGTCAATTAGAGGGAATGCTTGTACTGTGATAATAGATTCTGGAAGTTGCACAAATGTGGCTAGTGCAGCTATGGTTAAATTTCTTCAATTACCTTTGCTTGATCACCCTAATCCATATCGTTTGCAATGGTTAACCGATGCAGGAGAAGTTAGAGTAACAAAGCAGGCTCTTATTCCTTTATCTATTAACAATTACTCTGATGAAATTTTGTGTGATATTGTCCCAATGCAGGCTGCTCATGTGCTGTTAGGTAGACCGTGGCAATTTGATAGAAAAATCACTTTTGATGGAATGATGAACACTTATGTGTTTCACATGGATGGAGTTAGATATGTCTTGTCTCCTTTGACTCCTAAACAGGTGGAAGAAATACTATTGAAATCAAGGAAGGCATCAAAAGAGGCGAAATCAGTGCCATATTCCCCCTATCCAAAATCAAAGCCTCCACCTCCTCCAATATCCCATTCCACGCCATTTTCATCTCAAAACCCAGCAAAGGAATCACCACATCAGCCCTCTCTTCTTGCAACAAAAAATGACATTAAGAAGGCAATAAGAAGGGGAGACACGTTTAACTTACTTTTCATTCATAAGCTTACCACTGATCTTGATTCTTCTCTTGTGTTACACTCTGAATCTTGTTTTCGTAATGCCTCTATTGATGAATTGCTTGCTGATTTTTCAGATTTATTCCCTAAAGAGATGCCAAAAGGATTGCCACCACTTAGAGGGATTGAGCATCAAATCGACTTTGTCCCTGGATCTACCTTGCCAAACCGACCAGCCTACAAAACCAATCCCGTGGAAGCAAAGGAAATCCAGAAACAGGTTGAAGAGCTTCTTGAAATTGGACATATTCGAGAAAGCTTGAGTCCGTGTGCCGTTCCAGTGCTCATTGCCCCAAAAAAAGACGGTACATGGAGAATGTGTGTTGATTGTCGTGCAATCAACAATATAACTATTAAGTATAGATTTCCTATTCCTCGACTTGATGATATGCTTGATGAACTTTATGGAGCTAAGTACTTTAGCAAGGTGGATTTGAAACGAGGATATCATCAAATCAGGATGAAAGAAGGTGATGAGTGGAAAACAGCCTTTAAAACAAAGCATGGTTTATATGAGTGGTTAGTCATGCCTTTTGGCTTAACTAATGCCCCTACCACATTCATGAGGCTTATGAACCATGTTTTGAGGAAATTTATTGGTAATTTTGTTGTTGTTTACTTTGATGATATTCTGATTTATAGCAAGTCACAAGAAAAACACTTGAAACACCTTCGATTAGTTTTTCTTGAACTTAGGGCTGCACAGTTGTATGTCAATCTTGAGAAGTGTTCTTTTATGTCTGAGAGTGTTGAGTTTTTAGGATTTCATGTTAGTATAGAAGCTGTGACCATGGATTCAAAAAAGGTTGAAGCTATCACAAGTTGGCCAACGCCAACTAATGTATCTAACTTGCGTAGTTTTCTTGGACTGGCAGGTTTCTACAGAAAGTTTGTTCGTGATTTCAGCTCCATAGCAGCCCCTATGCATGAGTTGATTAAGAAAGACATCATCTTCAAATGGGGGCCTAAACAGGAACAAGCTTTTGCTACATTGAAAGAGAAACTCACCACCGCTCCTGTTCTAGTTTTACCTTGTTTTGATAAAACTTTTGAACTAGAATGTGATGCTTCTGGCATTGGAATTGGTGCTGTACTGATGCAGGATAAACGCCCCATTGCCTATTTTAGTGAGAAGTTGGGTGGCGCAACACTCAACTATCCCACATATGATAAAGAACTTTATGCCATTATAAGAGCCTTGGAAACTTGGCAACATTATTTATGGTTTAAAGACTTTATTTTACACACTGATCATGAAGCCTTAAAACATTTGAAAGGCCAAGGTAAGTTGAATAAGAGACATGCTAAATGGCTCGAGTTCATTGAAGCTTTTCCTTATAAAATTGCCTACAAGAAAGGTAAGGAAAACAAAGTGGCTGATGCTTTATCTAGGAGATATACTTTACTTGCTACTTTACATGCTAAGTTTCTTGGTTTTGATTTCATTAAGTCTCTCTATGCTAGTGATTCAGTGTTTGGCGAGATCTACACCTCTTGTGTACGATCTCCTTTGGGAAAGTTTTACTTGTCAGATGGGTTTTTGTTTAAGGAAAATAAAGTGTGCATTCCTAATTGTTCCTTGCGTGTGAGTTTGATCACTGAATCACATGGAGGTGGTCTTATGGGACACTTCGGTATTTCTAAAACCTATGATGTGTTGCATGAACACTTCTATTGGCCTAGAATGAAAAAAGACGTTGAGACTTTTGTGAATAATTGTACTACATGTCACCATGCTAAGTCCAAATCACTTCCCCAAGGGCTTTACACACCACTTTCTGTTCCTAGCGGCCCGTGGCTTGATATTTCTATGGATTTTGTTCTAGGGTTACCTATGAGTTCTAAGAGAAAAGATTCTATTTTTGTTGTAGTTGATCGTTTTAGTAAGATGGCTAGATTTATTGCTTGCACCAAAACTGATGATGCAACCCATATTGCTAATCTTTTCTTTGCTGAGATTGTTAAATTGCATGGCATCCCTAAGACTATTGTTTTTGATAGAGATTCTAAATTTCTTAGCCACTTTTGGCGTGTTCTGTGGGCTAAAATTGGGACTAAGTTGCTATTTTCTACTACTTGTCATCCTCAAACTGATGGACAAACAGAAGTAGTTAATAGAACCTTATCCCAATTACTTAGAAGTGTGATCTCTAAAAATCTAAAATCATGGGAAGAATGTTTGCCTCATGTTGAATTCGCTTATAATCGTGCAATACATTCAACCACTAACATGTCTCCTTTTGAAGTTGTGTATGGTTTCAATCCGTTATCTCCCATAGACTTACTTGCTTTGCCTTACAATCCGCAGGATAGCTTAGATGGAGAAGAACGTGCCAAGAAGATCAAGGAGATGCATGTTAAAGTCAAAGAACAAATTGAGAAAAGGAACGAACAAATAGCTGCTCGAGTGAACAAGACAAGGAAAAAGATCACATTCGAGCCTGGAGATTGGGTGTGGATTCACTTGCGCAAAGACCGTTTTCCCCGCAAAAGAAAGTCAAAGCTGAACCAACGTGGAGATGGCCCATTTCAAGTTATATCACGGATTGGAGATAACGCATATAAGGTTGATCTTAGAGGAGAATACAATGTCTCTTCTACTTTCAATGTTTCAGACTTGTCTCCATATGATTGCACAGATTCGAGGACGAATCATTTTCAAGAAGGGGAGGATAATGCAACCCAAACTACTGAAGATCCATTAAGAGTACCAGTTGGGCCAATCACAAGGTCTAAGTCCAAACAATTAAGACAACTCTTTATTGGTTATGTTCAAAAATGGTGAAAATCCAATTCAAGCCCAATTGCAAATGATGGCGAAGAACTCAAGGCTTTTTATAATTGTTTAAGTGCTGATTTTGGTGATTAAATTAGGCCCAAATCAGCCCTATTATTTTTGGTCATCATTAATTTAAATTGTTTGGCATAAAAGAGAAAACACTAGTTGTATTTAGAAAGGATTCCTTAAATCCTTTTCTAAATAAAACTCTATTTACTTGTTTTCTAGATTAGGTTTAGGACTCTTTTTCCTATTGTATTTAGATTACAATGCTGCCCTATACCTATAAATAGGGCACATCCATATCAGTTTTGGGCAGACTTTAATTCAATAAAATTCTTAAGTTTTTCTTTACACTTGTGTAAGAAACCTTATAGCTAATTGTGGACTCAATTAGTGACTAGTCGTGGACTCTACTAGCAAATTGATTCGTGGACTCGAATCAATCTTACTTTCTTCAACCTTAGATTTAGGTTCGTGGACTCGTTCTTGAATCGAAGGAAACTAGATCCGACTCTAGTTGATTGAAGATTGCATCATCGAGGTACTTGAAGCTACAATGGGATTCTTCCAAGTCTTTGAGGATTCGAGACAAAGGGTTTATCGTGAGGTTTAAGGTATTTCGATCCATCTCTATCTTTACATTGAGAGCAATTCTTGGGACAATACTCATCTTATTTGAATCTTGGACTAGATTCATATCAGGAGGCAAACAAATTTCTAACACATCTAGCAAGTACGTCATTAATAGAAACATGGCAAAGAAATCTAGAGAATAATAATGCATGCTTTCGGAATAAAAGTGAGTATAAAGTGACTCCCCTTCCTTTCTCTTGCATACTATCCTTTTTAGTTACCAAGAGATGTTGCACTTTGACACCTTGGGCTGGTCCTTTCCACTGTATCACTGATTGTGGTCCCTTTGTTTGGCTACAAACTGAGTTAGAGGATTGGAGTGGTGATTGCAATTCCAAACATGGAGGTTCCACTTTTCTCTCTATGATTTCTTCATTCTTTGAGGTAGGTTTGAGAGCTTGCATCAATGTCAATTGAATTTCTTCTACTTGTTTAGGATACAAACGAGACAAGAAATATGTAACTCCATTCATGTGAAACACATAAGTGTTCCTCATTCCATCAGAACTTATTTTTCTGTCAAATTGCAATGGTCTACCTAACAAGATATGAGCAGCCTGCATTGGGATATTATCACACAAGATTTCATCAGAGTAACTGTTAATAGATAAAGGAATAAGATCTTGTTTGGTTACTCTAGCTTCTCCTACATCAGTTAACCATTGCAAACAATAAGGATTTGGATGATTAAGCAAAGGTAACTGGGGAAATTTAACCATAGCTGCACTAGCCACATTTGTGCAACTTCTAGAATCTATTACCATAGCACAAGCATTCTCTTTAATTGACCCTTTAGTACAAAATATATTTTCTCTTTGAGACTCATCTTCTTTTAAAGGGTGAACATTCAAAACCTCCTTAACAACAACAGTATGACTAGACTCACTAGCAACATATTTAGAATCAGAGTCTAAAGGTATGAATGGTTCTCCCTCAACATGTTCATTGAGAGTTTCAAAATGGTCACATACCTCATCCTTAGACTTATATTCAAGACAAGAAGCAAAATTTTCAGATTGTTTGGTTATCTTAACTACCCTTTTGTTAGGGCAATCACGAGCTATGTGGCCTCTCCCATTACATTTATAACAAATCAATTCTCTATCATGTTGAGGCCTCACTGCCTCACTTACCTTTTCCTTACCTTTTTCTTGTGAATCATCTCTTGGAGGGGGATGTTCATCACGCCTTTTAGGGGTGGAACTTGTGTTGTTCCATCTTGATGCACCATTGTTGGACTTGTACAATTTCATCTCTTTGATTTTTGCCTCAGATTCACGTGCAGCATACAAGGCATCATAAAGGGTGTCATATCTCTGAATACTCATTCCACATCGAATTTCTAAGTTCAATCCATGTACGAAACGAGCAACAGTTTTTGTCTCTTCTTCATGTATGTCTCCATGTTTAAGCAAAATATTTGTAGTTTGGTAGTACTCATCAACTGACTTTTTTCCTTGCACCGTTCCCTGCAATTTTCTTTCAAGATCATAGAAAAAAGATTTAGGACGAAAAGTTAGGCGCATATCTTCCCTCACTTGAACCCAAGATTCATAGGGAATAAAATTAGCAACTCTTTCTATATTTCTTTTTCGCCACCAAGATAATGCATACCCCTTAAAAGATGTAGCAACTATCCTAATTTTTGTAAGATCAGAATATTGCTTTAAATAAAAAAAGAGTTTCAACAGCATTCTCCCATTCTATGTATTCGGTAGGTCCTTTCTCACCGGTGAAGTTAGGAATTTCATGTTTAATGTTTCCTAACTCCGCCGCATTACGCTGTTGGATCCTTTGACATATTGGATCCACTCTTCCTACTGGTGGCAAGTGTCGCTCATCATTGTGTGGTGGTTGCACTTGCTGTGAACGTTGCTCCAAATTATTCATTCGTTTGAGTAACCTGTCTATCTTTTGTTCTAATGTCTGGGGAAAGTTTGGAACTTGATCAGCCATCTGTATAGGAAAAAAAATCTTTAAAAAAAGAAGATATGTGAGTATTCATGTTAATGAAACCAAAAATTTGGCTCGCTCCCTCACTATTCTCAGCTCGCAGGTAAGAGGTGGATTATAGAGCTCTGGGGGTGCACTACACACTCTTACAAACACACACTCCACTCGTGTATCGCTCAAGGTGGCAGATACTCTCACAAGCCTTTTTCCAAAAAGGAAAATTCTAGTCCGGTACTCAAGTTGATATGGATTCAACCTCAAAGTTCAAGAAACGTACCTTGGAAGACTTCACAAGCCTTTGAGAGTAAGGGTGTATCGCGAGCTAGGTAATAAAATTGAGAGCAAGAAGCAAATAAAAAGGACAATACGAGCAAAGAAACTAAATAAGATTTGAAAGAAAAAGGAAACCAAAGAAGGAAGTATGGCAGAAAGATATGCAAGACCAAATCAACAGATAGAGACAAATAGAATGTAAGAGGGGTTCAAGTATACCACAACAAAGGAGGAATCTATCAAGAACGCCTTCCAACCTTATACTTTTCCCCT